CCGTCATATTTAAAACCGCCCGAATACATCGTTTTTAATGATGAACACGTTGGGTGTTTTGGGGTGGGGAGCTTGGGGGGGGGGGTCATCATTAAATGGCATTTTAATGAGGATACAAGTATATGGACATTATTGACAGATTAATTTATTATTATTTTCGCTCAATGTTTCAAAGCCCGAGTAATGGTCATTTCAATAATGTCAGGAATACAAAGTTAAATAACATTGCGTTATTATTATATTAAATATTCCATTCCCAGTTTAGTTGCACGATAATAGGTTATTTAAAAGAATCGTTTGTGTCGTAACATACACCAATCAGAGTACAGTAATTGCATATATTGGACGGTCGGAATATAGAGGAAAATAGAAGACAGGGATTCGCATCCAAAACGTGGTTAATCATCAAACCTAATCATCAAAAGACACTTAATACAATAAATCATTACATCAATGTAAAAATATGTAGAAAAATAACGAAATGCTTTCCCATGCAATAAAATCATTTCCGTGATAAAGCAACAGAGTGCCATCAATTAAAATTGTCGATTAAAATGGTGACATATACTGCGTTCGGATGAGTCTGTTTGACCCAAGCTGAATTGCTCGGTCCAATTTGTTCCCCTGAACGCCACGATGTCCGGCTTCCGTCGACAAATCGTCGAGACTGAAACTTGACCATATACGACTCTGATCGTGTGAACGCTGTTGGCATAAAATAAAAACATTCTTCTTTCGTTGTGTGTATTCATGCTGCTGGCGTCAACGGAGCGTATTCATGTTTTGAATGTTTATCAATAAATTCCGATCGATATCAGTCTGTTTTCTAAGGTCTATGGGTAAACTAGAAATATCGATGATCTCAAATAAAGAGAGCACAGCGGCTAACGTGCTCAGTCACATACCAAAGTATTCAAGTTTAATCTGCGGGGAAACGAAAATATACTGCACATATCTAGGTGAAATCATGTTTCTCATCACTTCCCAATATTTAGTCAAATGAGTTGACAGATTTCACAGCACTTATTGAGAGGGCACACTCTCTCCATATCAACAATGTATGATTTTGGATGGTTACTATAGGGCAGCATATAGACAGAGAGTGACGCAACTAAGATAATTACTGTAAAACACAACTATTTAGTTACATTAGCCAGTTAAAAATGTAGCTATTTGAAAGCAGAACTTTAGGCACATGGAGCTTTGTTCTTAGAAAATGCCTCTATTATGTTTTAATTTTTTTGTTTTTAATTCGCTGTAAGTTCCTGCTAATTCTTGCGTTGAGTCAAATTGCATGTGTCGATGTCATAATAGCTTGCAGTATGTTGTCAAATAAACGTGACGGATTAAGTCTATAATAGAAGCGAAAGGATTTGTCAGGTTTGAAATGACTGTGACCTTGACTGACTATATCTTTCGTTTGGCTTGAAAATTTGAGCGAGTCAGCCGACATAGATTTCATGTCAACTGAAAAAAAATTAAAGCGGCAAAGTTGACGTGACGCGCCGTCTTTGATGTGGGAACTGCGATGTTTATAACGCTTGTAAAACCATGGTAAAACATGGTGACTGTTTGTTTGTTTGTTTGTTTGTTCACACAAAACTCGAATGCGCAGAATATTATTGCAATTACGTATTAGTATGAATGACAAGATGTAAACAGAAAGACAATTTATAGCATTTAGAACTAGGAGTTAATCGCATAATATCCAATTGTGATAAAACTCTAGTTTTCGACCCCAGAATCATATTGGTTTACGATTGTATATCAGTGACGAATGGCATACCAACGTCTGGCAAACTTTCAAGAATATCAGATATAATGTAGTGCCATTGCAATTTAAATTGTCATGTTAATTACATTGTAAATAAGGTGTTGAGAATGTGAGGATTTCTGAATCGTAACTGTAAAGGTAGACCGTATTGTTGTTGTTTTCAACTAAAGTCACTAATCAAATGTCACAATACCCTTGCGAAACACCAGCGGCGTTTCAAGCGAGGGCCGTCAGTCCCGAGCATGGAGCTAAATTTTTTTTTCCATTTCTGGAGTCCATTACAAAATATTTTAATTAACAAGGTTTAAGGAAATGTTGTACATTTCTTATGTTATATAGTAATTTACAGCATTCGTCCGGCATGTATATTGATAAATGTAGAATGTGTAACTTACCTTCTTTATTTACAAATCAGAAAGTTTTTTTTTGCATAAAAGCATTCATGTCAATATTAACTGTTTTTATTTGAGCAGGTTTACATCTTTTAATGAACAACTCACCTTTAGACATAATTCACTTTTTCTTTTTTTTTTCTTTTCAAGTACAAACGTCCAAAAGATTCATTTCATTCCACGCTTATTGTATTGTCTTATTGAAATTTCAACTCAGTGTCCGGTCATTGATGTTTTAGCAACTTTAATCAGTTTAACTGCCCTTAGGTCGTATTTTTAATAACTTTTGGAATACTTATTTTATATTGTATTAAGTTTAAATGTATTGTAGTGTTTTATTGTATCTTATAAGTGAATATTTGTTGTTGTTATTGTTGTTGTTGTTGCGAGGTCCGTATTTGG